AGTCTTACCAAGTCTTATCATAAACGGTTGATTAACCCATATTTTGTATGCTATATGTATTATATCCTCTATTCTATAATGAAGTAAACTAGAAAAAAAATGTCATTAAGAAAATCGTAAGAGATAGTACATTGTAGTATTGTACTGTATTTATCAAAAGAGATCTGTGTATAAGTGGACCTGCGATCCCAGGACCCTGAGATCATGACCTGAGCTGAAGGCAGATGCTTAACCAGCTGAGCCACCCAGGTGCCTCAAGAAGCAGCAGTTTTAATTTTGATACAGGAATGACACTGAGTATCTTGACCATAATCAAGTTAGATTTGGAAATTCACAAGTAGAAAAGAGTAACGCAAGTGCAAATTATTGCATTAACATAATGGGGCCACCTAAAAGTTGGAACATCTCTTGCTGTTTTCCTGCCTGGGTGCCCCCACATGAAGAAAGACATACCCAGTAATTCAACCTCAGGGTGTGTTGCTTAAATCCTTGAGTGCCCTAATCATCAGGTCACTCTCCCTAAACAGGTTGCCCTCACTGATTTAATTGACTGGATCTAATTGTAGAACTTTATGTTTTTCCTAGGTACATTTCATATTGAGTTTATCCCATTATGATCTTTTAAAATATATCCTGTCATTCAGATAATCATAATTAATACTATTTTTTTAGGTGTGATGACTTCATAGTTGTATTTTTTAATTGAAAATTTGTTGAGGAAAATCTAGATTCATATGAAATTATAAGAAATAATACAGGGAGCCCAGGTTCCCCAAGTGGTATTTTGCAAAATGATAGCACAATATCACAACCAGGATTTTGACATCATTGATATAATCCCATCTTATTCTGATGTCTCCAGTTTGACTTGTACTCATTTGTGTATGTGTGTGCATGTGTGTATAGCTTTGTGTATTTACCACCACAGTTAACATACTGAACTTTTCCAACATCACAATGATACCTTCTGTTGCCTTTTATAACTATACCCACCTCCCTCTTACCACTTTCCCTTCCCCACTGTTTCTAACCCCTGGTAACCACTAATCTATTCTCAATTTCTAAAATTTTATCATTTCAAAAATGTTATATAAATAGAATCATATAATATGTAACTTTTGGGATTGGCTTTTTTCATTCAGCGAAGTTCCTTGGAGATTCCCTAAATTGTTTTGTGTATCATTAGTTTGCTCCTTTTTATTGCTGAATAGTATTCCATGGATGGATATACTATAGTTTGTTTAACCATTTAGCTCTTGAAGGACGTATGGGCTAATTCCAGTTTGTCTATGGACATTTATGTGCAGATCTTTTGTGATATAAGTTTTCATTTCTTTGGAATAAATGCCCAAGAGTGAAATTGCTGGGTTATATAGTAATCACAAGTTTAGTTTTATAAGAAACTGCTAACATATTTTCCAGAGTGGCTAACACTATTTTACATTCCTACCAGCAATGTGTAAGTGATCCAGTTTCTCTGCATCCTCAACAGGAGTTGTTTTTGTTTTTGTTTTTGTTTTAATTTTAGCCATTCTGATAGCTGTATAGTGCTATTTTATTGTGGTTTTAATTTGCATTTTCCTAATAGCTAATGATGTTGAACATCTGTTCATGTACTTTTTTGCCATCTGTATGTACTCTTCAGTGGAACGTCTCTTCATGTCTTTTGCCCATTTTCTAATTATTATTTGCTTTTATACTATTGAATTTTGAGAGTTCTTTATATGTTCTAGACATGAGTCCTTTGTGAGCTACGTAGCTTGCAAAGATTTTCTCCCACTCTGTAGCCTCTCTTCTCATTCTCTTAATAGGTTCTTTTGCAGAGCAAAGGGTTTTAATTTTGATAATGTTAAATTATAAATTTTTCCTTTTATGAATCTTGCTTTCAGTATCAATTCTTTGCTTGGCCCTGAAAATTTTCTTAATGTTTTTTCTTAAAAGTTTTGGAGTTTTACACTTTACATTAAGTCTATGATCCATTTTGAGTTCATTTTTAAGTAAGATGTGGAATTTAGGCTGGGATTTATTAGAATTATTATTTGTCTTACAGATGTCGTATTGCTCTAGTATTGTTTGTTGAAAAGGTTATCCTTCTTCTACTGAATTATTTTGTACCTATGCCAAAAATCAGTTGAGCATATTTGTGTAGGTCTATTTCTGGGACCTCTATTGTGTTTCATTGATCTAAGTGTCTTTTTTTTTTTTTTTTTTTTTGCCAAACCATATCGTCTCAATTACTATAAGTCTTGAAATTGGGTAGATTTATTCCTCTCATTTTATTATTTTTCAAAATTGTCTTAATTATTCTAGTTCCTTTACCTTTTATGTATTTTAGAAAAAAACCTGTCTATATCTACAAAAACCCTTGATGGGTTTTGATAGGAATTACATTAAACCTGTATATCAATTTGGGGGAAATTACCATTTTAATTATGTTGAATTGTCCCATCCATCAACACAGTATGTCTCTCCATTTATTTAGATTTTCTTTGAAATCTTTCACCAGCATTGTGGAGTTTTTTCCATACAAATCCTAGATATGTTTTGCTAGGTTTATACCTAAGTATTTCATTTTTTTTTTGAGTGATTGTCAATAGTATTTCTAACTTTGGTGTATGAGCATTCATTGTTAATATGTAGAAGTACAATTAATTTTTTGTTTATCTTGTATCCTATGAATTTGCTGAACTCACTTATTAGTTTTAGGAAGTTCTTGTTTTGTCTTGTTTTTTGTAGATTACATGGGGTTTTCTTTCTTTTTTCTTTCTTTCTCTCTTTCTGCTTTTATTATTTTTTTTTAAGTATTCTCAACACCCAATGTGGGGCTCAAACTCACAATCCTGAGATCCAGAGTTGCATAATCTACGGACTGAGCCAGCCAGGTACCCCAATTCCCTGGGATTTTCTATATAGCCTATCATGTTACTGCAGACAGGAGGAATTTCATTGCTTCATTTCCAATCTGTAATGCCTTTTACATCTTTTGTTTGCCTTATGGCAGTTGCTACAACTTTCAGTACTATGTTGAATAAAAGTGGTGAGAGTAAACATCCTTACCTTGTTCCTGATTTTAGGGGGAAAGCGTTTAGTCTTTTGCCATTAAGTAAGATATTAGCTGTAGGTTTTTTATAGATGGTCTTTATCAAATTGAGATAACTCCCTGCTGTTCTTAACTTGAAGAGAGATGTTTTCTTTTTTACATCATGAATGAGTGTTAGATTTTATTGACTGTATGATTTTTCTTCTTTAGTTTATTGATATGGTGGATTACATTAATTGATTTTCCAAATGTTGAACTAACCTTGCATACCTGGAATAAATCCCACTTGGTCATGGTGTATGACCTTTTTTATACATTATTGAATTTGTATTGCTGGTATTTTGTTGAAGACTTTTGCACCTAAGTGCATGAGATACATTGTTCTGTTGGGTTTTGTTTTTAAAAATACACACTATCTTTGTCTGATTATGGTTTCAGGGTAATGCTAGCTTCATAAAATAAGTTGGAAAGTTTTTCTCTTCTATTTTTTTTAAGAGGTTGTATAAAATTGGTGTTTATTTATTTGTTTATTTTTTAATAATTGGTGACGTTCTCCAGTGAAAGCATCTGGGCCTGGAGATTTAAGTTTTGAGAGTTTAAAAATTACTAATTATCGTTGTATGTTTACATAGCTATATAATACCCATATATGTTACTAGAGAAATGTGTTGTGTACTTTACCAGAGGAAGGATGTTGGAGAGGACCATGCTCTGCCCTCCTGTGCCATCCCACTGCAGCTGGCTCTTGTCCTTTTCATCTCTCGGGTGATTGCAAAGTTGAGTGGGGAGGGGAGAAAGCCTCCCTATGGGTACACCAGGTGTTTCCTTGCAGGGCAGGCTGTGGATTCTGTGAGTGAGATGGAGGTGTATCACCAGGGTCCTACATCAGAGAAGCAAGGGCATCAGGCGGGATGTCCCCAGCAGCTCCTCATCCCCTCGTGGTCACAGGGCTTGATAACGAACAACAGGTGCCAATCTGGAGACAGGCACAGAGATGAAAAGGCCCCGGGTGAGGGCCCCCATTCCTCCCACACTGTTATCGATGTTATCACTGCAGTTGTAACAGCAAAGGGAGGCAGGTCTTAGGCATTAAAAGAGAAGTGTGTAAAAGAGGGAGGAGAAGGGCCATAACAGAAGATCCAGACTGCACCCTGGGCTGCATGCAAGGATGGACCCCAGGACTGCCCACCTCCTTAGGAGTGCAGGTTCATTTCCACAGGTCTCTTTGATTCTGCATGAAAACCGCAGACCCACTCTGGGCACACTCTGGGCACACCACATACACCTGTGTGAGGAGACGTGTGGGTCCCCCCTGGCTTAGGGTCCTGCGGTGTGCCTGGTGGAGTCTCTGATATGGCTTGGTGCCCTTCTGGATTGGACTGCTTCCACAGGACACCTGAACCTGCACTTCCCAGGTGGCAGCTGATGCCCCATTTGGCTTATTGGGGGATGTGAAGGGATGTGTTTTCGTCCCCGAGCATGGCAGTAGCAGGAGAAGGAGGTAATGAGAAAGTGGCAGGAGCCTGCATTGGTTTGGTCACATGGTTAGTAAGTGGCAGAGCCAAGGCCTGCGTCTAGGTGGATCTGACATAAAAGTTGTAAATACTGTGCTTCAGTTTTCTCATTTGTACAATGGAGAAAACAATGGTCCTTACCTCCCCATATGATCATGAAGATTAAATGAGAGAATCACGTAACAATCTAACATGTGGCCTAGAGAGAACATCGTAAGTACTCATAATATTAGCCATTATTATTATTAATGTTAATATGCCATTTATCACCAAAGGCAGAATTACAATGACGATAGCAAAAATTTAGCATCAACACAAGTATGATGAAATGAGAATTGTTTCTGGTTCATTAACATGTGAGGCCTTTCATTAGAAACTAATTTGAAGCTGTGACATTCCTCTGATACGAACCCACATGTCAGCCTGTCTAAATGCCTCAAACCCAGATGGAGTGGTCGTCCTGCCTGCCCCTCAGAACCTCTCTGTACAATCAACCAACATGAAGCATCTCTTGATGTGGAGCCCAGTGATTGTGCCTGGAGAAATAATATACTATTTTGTTGAGTACCAGGGGTGAGTTTTTTTTTGCTTCTAATTTTTCTCCCTTTAAAGAGTAGTTGATTCCTGGAGGTAAAGTCCTCCTCATTCCAGAGCTCAAGGAGACTTTGTAAGCCCAGGGATAGGTTATTTCCCATGATCTGTCTCCTCTTCTGCATGGGCATTAGGACAGTTGAAGAAGCAAGGAAAATTGTCCTGTGGATTTGACCATGAACTCTCTGGGTATAATATAAGTGTGTATAAACACATTTTGGTAGAGCTTCTTTTCAACAGTGAGCCAAATGTCCAATGCTAAAGAAAATCTTGAGAAATGAGTTTGACTCTGACTTGAGGTGGATAAATCATTGGAGATGTAAATCCTTTGGAAGTGGGAGGAGACCTCAGTTTTCCTGACTTAGAGCATGCCTGTAGGAACCAAAATAAATCATGACCCTAAAGTTCAGCTGGACCTGGGGCCAAGCAGGACTCTGCTCTTCTCCAGGTGTCCAGGCTCTGAGAGCTGTTGAGGAGGGACAGGGACACAGAAGGCGCCCAATCTGTTTCATTAACAGTAAATACAAACTGAGCACTTATGTGTGTAGATATTCCTCTAGACTCAGGGGTACAGTTCACAGGGTTTCTAGATATGGGGAGCTTCCATTTAGAAGAGGAGACAGACAGTAAAAGGGTAAAGAAATATATACACTAGATCTGCACTGTCCAGTGTGGTAGCACTAGACACAGAGGGCTATTTAAATTTAAATTTATTAAAATTACATTAAATTAAAGTGTCTGTTTTTCAATCATACCAGTCACATTTCAAGTTCTTGATAGCGACACGTGGCTAGTGACTACCATAGTGAACAACACTGATATAGAACATGTTCTATTGGGCAGCACTGCTCGAGGTGGCCTCAGATAGTATTCCGTGCTAGAGGAAGCTAAAAGGCTGATGCAATAGAAAGTCGACTCTGAGGCTCCTTTTAATTAGGTTCAGGTGTGATGAGCACTGGATGTTATACTGAACTAATGAACCATGGAACATTATATCAAAAACTAACGATGTACTATACCTTGGCTAATTGAATTTAAATTAAAAAAATTAAGTGATCAGGGAAGGTAGGAGGTGATGTTTTCTGAGGAGGTGTTGTTTAAGCTGGTATCTGAAGGACAGGAGGAGCCCACCAATGAACAGCAGGGATGGAAAGTTTGAGACAGTGAACAGGCAGTCAAAGGTCCTATAGTAACAAGAGCTCAGCACGTGGGAGGAATGGCAAGGAGGCCAGTGTAGAGGGAACACCATGTTTAGCGGCAGAGTGAGAGAGAAGGCCAGAGAGTCTTCCAGGCTACAGGAAAGAGTTTGGATTCCATTTTGAGTGCTTTGGAAGCCATTAAGGAGAGAAATGTCATGGTCTGTTGAGTGATGAATGGTTTGAAGAATGGCAGGAGTCGAAGCTGGAAGATCAGTCAGGAGACCATAGCAAGGCCAGGGATGACAGCAGCTGAGATTGAGGGGCTGCTGCAGAGATGGAGAAGCCAGGACGTACTGGGGTTTACGCCTATGTTTCCCTTGTTTGGTGATAAAAGGACTAAGAAAGAATGGATGGTTGGCGAGGAACTGGAGTGTGGAGCAAATGCTTGTTTTGCTGACCCATAAAAAGTAGGTGAATGAAGCAGTTACTTGCACCTGTCATTGAGCCTGGGTAAAAGGGGCTGGTGTGACGCTGTGCCCTCCTCTTCTTGGCCAGAGAGTATGAGAGCCTGTACATGAGCCACATCTGGATCCCCAGCAGCTGGTGCTCACCCACGGAATGTCCTGAGTGTGACATCACTGATGACATCACTGCCACTGTGCCATACAAGCTCCGTGTCAGGGCCACCCTGGGCTCACAGACCTCAGCCTGGAGCACCCTGCAGCATCCCTTTAACCGAAACTCAAGTAAGGCGCTTCTCTTCTTACTCTCCCACTCCCACTGGCCTCATCTTCAGGAACCAAATTCACTGAGACTGTCAGCATTCTTGTTAGCCTCAAATTGGCCTTGCAAAGCCAGAGTACCATGAACACACACAGTCCTAATGGGTCCGTTTAAAAAATTACCAACTGCTTCCCACACACCCTCTCATTTTGAAAGAGACTTTGGAAGTCATTCCTGACTGTCTCTGTCGGGGTCTGCAGGCGGTGGGGAACACGGAAAGAAAGCTGTTCTGAAGTGAGGAGGTAGAACTAGCACTGCTTCTTCCTACCTTGATCGTGCCTCAGTACGTCTTACATTGCCTCCCATCTGGTGCCTCCTTAACCTCGTCTTTGTTGCCTGTGTGAACAGCTTCTTCATGCAATAGGATCTATACATTTATCAGACTCACCAGAAACCGTCCCTGGGAAATGAATAACTTTTCTACAGTAATAGTACCTGGAAAAAGAGTGAGAAAAAAGTATGGGAAAAATCCAGATGCGTGGCCTAATATGGCAAGAGTGCAAGTAATGGGCAGTATATAAAAGGGTGTGTTTGTTTGGGGAACAGCAGGAACAAAGGCTGGTCCTGTGGTGAAGGGCTTTGACATGAAACTTACCAAAATCAGTAGAGGTGAGTCATGGAAGAAGACGGGGTTTAGGCCAGGTCTGTTTTCCACACCAGTCTCTCTGAAGGCTGCGTGGAAAGTGAACTGAAGTAGGACAGGTCTGCAGGGCAGGGGAAGAGTGAGGAGGGCACTGTCTTTCCAGCTGAGCCGAGACCGGCCCTGATCCTAGAAGTGAGGGACGGGACAGGAAGGAGAGGACACATTCGAGAGACATGGCTGAGTAGAATATAGAACATACAGAACTTGGGAACCAGTTGTTGGGAGATGGAGTGGGGAGAGACGATGATGCTGTCCAGCTTCCAGGTGTGGTTGGTGAGAACGTCATCCGAGACAGAGGACCCAGGAGGAATAGGAGACACTCCTGGCTTTGGGCTCTTTGAGATCGAGGCCCCTCCAAGATAGCATGCCACAGATGTCTGATTGGCAGCTAGAAATCAGGCCCTGGGGCTCACACAGGCCCAGATCAGATACAACCCGAAATTAATAGCTAGAGGCTTGGGAGCAGATGACATTGTCCAGGGAGAAGATATGAGGACAAAGAGAACCCAGGACAGGATCCTGAGAAACCTCGGGGCTTAAAAAGTGAATGGAAGGAAGGGCAGGTAGCATCATGGAGGGAAGAAGGGCTGCTGATAGGTCTGAAGGAGGGCCCTAAATGGGTCTTTGGGAAAATGGCTTCATGGAGTATTAGGGATGGCGGTGGGGCTGCTAGGTGGAGGATTGAGTGGAGGGGGCAAGGAGAAGGGAGCTCCTCCTCTGAGAGGCGCAGGCAATAATGTGACCAGGTTGGAGCTGTGGGAAAGGCAAGGGAAAAGGCCTTTGGTGATCTCTGTTTTCTTTCTTTCTTTCTTTCTTTCTTTCTTTCTTTCTTTCTTTCTTTCTTT